TGTCAAGTTTTCCTATCGAAGGTTGGTGGTTTTCTCCGGGAACTCCGGCTTCCTCCACCAATAAAAAATGGCCGCCACGAAATAGCCCAAAAGCGGTGCTTAAAAGTGGCGTTAAAACACCAAAAATCAAATCTTATATGGTCTTACTAAGAATTCTTATATCATTTTTAATTGCTCTGTGTTTTGTTATGTCTGTTTTGTTTTACTTACGTCATTCTGTCAAACTTTTCATTATAGTTTTTATAAGACTTTTTGGACTGGTTTATAAATTGTCTATATATTCCCTAATTGTAATGTTACACCACTGTCCCAGGTTAGGGGGAGTTGGGGCCAGCAAACTGATTAACCCCGCCATATACTGTATGTGCCTGTCCAAAGTCAGGAGCCTGTAATTCAGTGGTGGTTGTTTTTTGTTGTAAATCGATTTTGTTTTTTGTTCATTGTTTTGAACACATATCAGGCCATTAGTTTTCTTGTTTGAATTGTTTTACATTTTTCGTTTCGGGGCCTTTTATAGTTGACTATGTGGTATGGGTTTTGCTCATTGTTGAAGGCCGTTAGGTGACCTATAGTTGTTACTTTGTCATTTAATTAGTCACTGGTGGATAATTGTGTCATTAACATTCATACCATATCTTCTTATTTTTATAAGCCAACTAAAAACTCTAACTGTATTGATTTATAACCCTTTATTTCACTCCACACAATGACAGAATCCATATCTATTTAATTTTTTTGAATTCCCATAGATCGTTATGTTCATGCTATTCATTTTAACCTATATATGCTGATATTACACCTCTGAAACACAAAACACATTAGATTTTTGTGTTTCTAGGATGCTAGGCCTTAATTAAAAAATTTCAAACTGCAGAGGGTTATTGTTTTTTTTTAAACTGAGTACTCTGCCCTTTTTTCCATTTGTTATGACAACCTTTTTGTATGTTGCTTAAATCCTTTATGATTATCTGAATGCTCTCTGTTATGTTAAAGTTATTTATATCCAGTTAAAGTTCACAGGCATTTGTCTCAAATTTTTTTTCCCTATATACCTTAATATAACACAAGGTACTTAACTTGCATTTTTTAAAAATGTCAGCCAGTCGTGAAATTCCGTTATATGCCGATTTCTCGGTTGTCAACTCCACTAAAACTTGTTATGTCGTAAATCTAAATTGATTTTACTACACAATGGTGTATAACACGCCTACTTTTGTTGTCAGAATCATCCGTAGCAATCCTACCCAAGTATGTCAATCGTAATTATTTCATCTACCGACGCCAGATTGGACACATACGTCTCGCAGTAAAAGGTATCTTCCCACTCTCTTTATATATCTCAGTTTCTGATTGGTCAAATTTTATGGGAAGGTCTAAATATTTCTCAGACTTAACTTATCTTATTTCATTTCATACGCAAAGTCCAGAGAGAGTCTTAATAACATTGATGTAATGGGAAAATTTGTGTCTAAAAAAAGAAACTTGTAACTTATTAGACATACCACAAATAACACTTGTGAGATTTTTTTTCACGGTATCTTATACAATTTTACTAACTGGGTGATAAGTTCTATTCAGACAAGAACTAACAAGTTTTTATACGACCGCAAGAATTTTTTGCGGCTGTATATTGGTATGACAATGGCGCCGTCGTCCGAAGACACATTGGTTTTCGCACTCTAACTTTAAGTGAATGGATCTCTATGAAATTTTACCATAAGGTTCAATACCACAAAAGGAAGGTTGGGATTGATTTTGGGGGTTATGGTACCAACAGTTAAGGAATTAGGGGCCAAAAATAAGCATTTTTGTAACTTCCAGACATATTTAAAACTTGTGTGTTAGTGTATGGATCTCTCTGACATTGTACCACAAGGTTCCATATCACACAGGGAATGCTGGGATTGATTTTGGGGGTAATTGCCTCAAAATATTAGGAATTAGGGGCCAAAAAAGGGGCAAAAAACAAGCTTTTTTCTAGTTTCATGACAATAACTTGTGTGTAAGTGTATGGATCTTTCAGAAATTGTACTACAAGGTTCCATATCACAAAGGGAAAGCTGGAATTGAGTTTGGGGGTAATTGCCCAAAACGTTTAGGAATAAGGGGCCAAAAATAAGCATTTTTCTAGTTTCCAGACAATAACTTGTGTTCAAGTGTATGGATCTCTCTGAAATTGTACTGCAAGGTACCATACCACAAAGGGAAGGCTGGGATTGATTTTGGGGGTAATTGATCCAAAATTTTAGGAATGATGGGCCAAAAAAGGGGCAAAAAAACAAGCATTTTTCTAATTTCAGGACAATAACTTGTTTTCAAGTGTATGGTTCTTTATGAAATTGTACTACAAGGTTCCATATCACAAAGGGAAAGCTGAGTTTGGGGGTAATTGCCCTAAATGTTTAGGAATTTGGGGCAAAAAAGGGGCCAAAAAACAAGCATTTTTCTAGTTTCCAGACAATAACTTGTGTTCAAGTGTATGGATCTCTCTGAAATTGTACTGCAGGTACCATACCACAAAGGGAAGGCTGGGATTGAGTTTGTTGGTGATGAATCATAAGGGGGTTTAAAAAATTGGGGGGGATTTTTTTTCTTTAAAATTTTCCATTTTAAATTGGTTATTTCTGATTTATATATAAAAGCAAATATTAATGATATGGTTTGAATAGGTAAATTAAAAAAAATTTAAGTTCTTAGACCACATTCATTCTGTGTCAGAAACCTGTGCTGTGTCAAATATTTAATCACAATCCAAATTCAGTGCTGTATTAAGCTTGAATGTTGTGTCCATACTTGCCCCAACTGTTCAGGGTTCGACCTCTGCGGTCGTATCAAGCTGCGCCCAGGGGAGCATTTTATTTTAAAATTATTTTTATAATTAATCATTTACTGCGAGTATTGTGTATCCAATCTGGCGTCGGTAGACGAAATAATTACGATTGACATACTTGGGCAGGGGTTAAGAAATTTTGTTATAGCTCACTAGCCCAGGGCTAATTGGTGGCAGGATTTTACTAGCCCTGTTGGAAGAACTACTAGCCCAACAAAACTGACCTGCTAGCCCGAGTATGCCTTACAAATCCAGAGTTTGCTGCATAATACAATGAATTCTATAAACTTAACAATCTTTATCTGTTGTACAGTAGATTTTTGCAAATCGGATACCCAAAACTTATGTCAGCAAAAAAATATCCCATTAGCAGATATATTCAATTAATCGATAATTGTATATTCATTGAATATTCTGTAATAATGAGTTGACCAAATCCTGAGATGGTACAAGTCTTGACCACTGCTGTACATGGTTATATAAAAGGATTGGAGTGATTTTTATCAGATACATTATAAACGAGGTACAGTAATATCCATATTTACATTTATGAGGGTCGTAATGAGGGTTCCTTCATGACGAATAACGGTAAAAAATCTTGCCAAATGACGTTAACGGTAATTTTTGGTGCATGACGATAAAATGTACACTTTCTTTAGCGGTGGTCAAGACTTGTACCATCTCAGGATTTGGTCAACTCATTATTACAGAATATTCAATGAATATACAATTATCGATTAATTGAATACATCTGCTATTCATGCTACTGGGATATTTTTTTGCTGACATAAGTTTTCGGTGTCCGATTTGCAAAAATCTACTGTACAACGGATAAAAAAATCGACTGATTTTGACGAATCACGTTAAATTTTTTCCAAAAATAACGGTAACGATAATTATTTGAGACCTCTGACGAGTCACGATAAGGATATTTTGACGAATCACGCTAAAATTTTAACCAATTTGACGCTAACGGTAGCCGTAAATGACCGTTTGACGCCTGACGGTAAAGGGCATTACTACCCTCATTTATCACAGGTAAGCTAATTGTGGGCTATAAATAGATTACAAACTGAGTACAGTCTGTAAACTGAAATTGTATTTGTTATAAATTTTATTTCTTTAAAAATCAAATTTATTTGAATATCAATGAAGATAATCATGATTGATGAAATATTATTGCATCGAGTTTAAGTTTTCTGAAGACTGTTAATGTTTAAATCATGGTTCTGAAGGCTTCTTCACAGTATGTAAACAAAAACAAAATGGTGTCCATAACATGTGCACATGTTACAAATTTATATCTGACAAAAGTCAGGTTTCTCCTGTCAAAAGGGATTCACATTTATGTTGCAATAAATTATTCAGAAGGAGGTACAGTCCGGTTACATTATATTTCTCTGGTTGCATAAGCAATGTACAATACCCCCTGTACTGACAAATCGATACTGTAAGTACGGGATCCACCCCGAGTTATTTGTTCTATTTTAAAACTTGTACAAAATCAGTTCAAATTCTGGGAATCCCGGATGATGTAGTTCATGTAGTTGAATCTGTTCTAAGATAGAATAGTGATGTGTGGATTTTCCTCTTTTTATTTTGGAAACGCCAAGATTGCATATTGGGTTACAAGTTTTGGTTGCCCGAGGCCTAAATGCTGAGTCCCGGGCGTCAGGCTAGTGGATTTTTTAACCCCTGTTGGGTAGGATTGCTACGGGTGATTCCAACAACAAAAGTAGGCGTGTTATACACCATTGTGTAGAAAAATCAATTTAGAATTACGACATAACAAATTTTAAAGGGGTTGACAACCGAGAAATCGGCATATAACGGAATTTCGCGACTGGCTGACATTTTTCAAAAATGCGAGTTAAGTACCTTGTGTTATATTAAGGTATATAGGAAAAAAAAATTCGAGACAAGTGCCTGTGTAGAAGTTGTATTCTTATATGTAATGTTTACTAAACCGAATCTAAATAAAACTGTCAACATTGGCTTCATGCTACTTTCACTTTCGTTTTGCAAAGATCTTCTCTTTCTAACGCATGCGCTTTCTATCTTCCGCGTTTGCAAAATAAGGTTTCCCTGAGATCATCATTTTTATGTGAACGATAAAGATTATAAATGCGTATTAAATAATAAAGGTGAATTTAGAGAATACATGTTTTACCAGTAAACACACTATCTTGGTATAAAATGAAGAATTATTCTGGCTGGTTGCATAAATCGCTGAGGGAAGAACAGGATCGAACAACACAAAATGGACGTCGTTCGGTAATGGTCGGCTATAATCCGGACCTATAATCACGTGATCCCGATCCGTGTTTGGTTACTCTGTCACCACAGAATGTTTTGACATACCGCCCGAATAGAAGTTCCTTCATAATATAAGTTCCAAATGAAAACAATATTCTGGAATATTGTTTCCACTGGAATAAATATTACAGTAAATATACGTTGTCAACACGATGCGCGACGTTGTCTAAGAGGTCCCTGAGAACAAATTTACACTTTAAAAAAATAGTGGCGTAGGAGCAGACTGAAAAGTGTTTGTGTGTGTGCGGGAGGGGGTCAAACTTCTGAAAGTGACAAGCATAAAAAAAAAATTGTCGTATTTTTATTTGGCCTTTTAAAACTTTTTGATTTGATCAACCACCGATCACTGGGTCGTCTCGAAGCCACTGCTGATGGAGGAGGGTAGGAATTCCCTTTACCGTGAGGCGTCAAACGGTAATTTTCGGCTACCGTTAGCGTCAAATCGCGGTTAAAATTTTATCGTGATTCGTCAGAGGTCTCAAATGATTACCGTTACCGTTATTGTTGGAAAGAATTTAACGTGATTCGTCAAAATCAGTCGATTTTTTTATCGTCATAAAGAAAATGTACATTTTATCGTCATGCACCAAAAATTACCGTTAGCGTCATTTGGCAAGATTTTTTACCGTTATTCGTCATGAAGGCACCCCCATTACGATCCTCATGGAGGTGTCCTCCTCGAGTGTAGCACCATTCAGCCCAGTAGTCAGCACTTCTGTGTTGACATAAAGCTTGAATTATCATTGCATGATGGTCATAATTATAAATTAACTGTTAACCAAACTTTGATTTTTTCGAAATACTAATTAAGGATTTTATTTCTACCCCAGGAATAGATGAGGGTGGGATTGGTGTACCCCACATGACGAATATGACGGTAAAATATTTGTTAAAATAACGTTAACGATAAACATTTTACTCCGTTTGACGCTAACGTACGGTAGCTACAAAATTTGACGAATGTCGATAAGAAATTAAGGCTCATTTGACAGTGCGGTAGCGAAAAACGGACGCTTGACGCTTGACGATAAAGGGCAATAATTTCTACTTTCATAGATTGCCTTATTTAGCTGTATTTGGCAAAACCTTTCGAAAATCTGGGTTTTCAATGCTCTTTCAGTATAACTTCGTACATATACATATAGAGTCTTTATTTGACCTTTTTTATACTTTTTGATTCGAGCGTCACTGGTGAGTCTTTTGTAGACGAAACGCGCGCGTCTGGCGTACACATTTTTAATCCTGGTATCAGTATCATGTCTATGATGAGTTTATTTAAAAGCACTGGGTCGTTGACACTGCTGGTGGAGGTTTTCTCCCCGAGGGTATCGATCACCAGCCCAGTAGTCAGTACTTCCGTGTTGACATGAATTATCATTTCAATATGGTCATAAAAACTTTCGATTTTTCGAAATACTAAGGATTTTCTACCCCATGCATGAGTAGATTAGGCTTAGCTTATTCGGCAAAACCTTTTGGAAATTTGGTTTTTGATCTTCTCACTTTGATGATCTTTAACTTCGTATCATCTGGGAACAGTATATATGTTCCTGGTACTATAAAGTCTTTAATTGGTCTTTAAAAACTAGTTTTGATCCGAGCGTCACTGATGAGTGTTTTATAGACGAAACACGCCTCTGACGTACACATGTTTAAGTCTTGGTATCTATGATGAGTTTATTTACAACCACTGGGTCGATGCCACTGCTGGTGGAGGTTTCCTACCCGCCGGTATCACCAGCCAAGTAGTCAGTCCTCCTGTATTGACATAAATTAGCATCGATATGGTCACAATCATAAATTAACTGTTAACAAAACTTTGAATTTTAGAAATACTAAGCCGGATTTTCTACCCCAGGAATAGATTACCTTAGCTGTAGTTTGCAAAACCTTTCTGAAATTTGGGTGCTCAATGCTCTTCAACTTCGTATTTTATTTGGCCATTTTAAAACTTTTTGATTCGAGCGTGACCCGTCACTGATGAGTCTTTTGTAGACGAAACGCGCATCTGGCGCCGTAGAAATGTTTAATACGAGTTTATTTAATAGACTATTGAGATGTTAGTCAGTGTCCTCTTAACATCATTTTCATAATTTATGATATTCAGTAATTCATTATGACCAAAAAGTGGAGGAAGGGGATTGCGCGCCTCCGGCTTCTTCGCAAGTTTGGTGTTTTATCACATGCATAGATATATTTTATTACCAATTAAGGGCCCACAAGGGGCATATAGAGAATACATGTATAAGGAAAATGAACATTGATTAGCATAGATACATAGAATTTAAATACACAATTACAATACAATTAGACTGTAAAAAAGCCCTAATAATTTATAGTATATAATATATTTATATGAGCAAGAATTTGTATAGTCTTACTATAAATCCTTGATATGAGAAATAAATAAATCTAACTCATATTGACTTGATGATAAATTTTCCAACAGCATTAAGGACCTGATTGTCTTCACAGCTTAATAAATATATGAATTTTTGCTGATTGTCCAGTAAAGAAAAGTTTGGAACTTTATGGCAAACAAAGTCAAAGAGAACATCTCTATCAGAGTTAAATTTTTCAAATGAAGTTAAAAAATGGATTTCATCTTCAACACAGTCAGAGGAGCATTTTTTTGCAAATTCTTTCATTTCGTGGAATATTTGAAAAACGGCCAAATTCAATTTAAAGCTTATGAGCAGATATACGTAATTTACAAATAGCTCTTCTAAAATCAAAGTTTTTAACCAATGGGAGATAATTTCCATTGCCAAAATTTTGTTTAAATTTCAAATAATTGAACAATTTTCCATCAGAAGCATTTGTTTGGCTATCATACCAATTGTTAATATATTTAGTGTGAATTAATTTGTTAGATATATTCAAAAATTTATATTGTCCAAAACTTTTACTTCTTGTTTAATTTCAAGAACTCCAACTAATTTTTTAACAAATGAGAACCAAGAAGTTATGTTAGATTTGTGAAGCTCTTGGCTGCATTTATAAGCGTCTTTCAACAGACTGAATTCAGTTTGAAGATTTTCAAATCTATACCAGTATTTAACAATTGACTTTACAATATCATAATGTAGGAGGAAACGCCCCAGTTCTGATAATACAGCAAAATTTAAACTCCTTTTGTGTACACCAAGTATAAATTTTGAGAACTTGAGATGAGGTTTCTTATTACACTGAAGATTTTTATAAATATTTTCAAGATTACACAAGGAGGATTGTGATTTATTACAAGAAACATTATAACCTCCCCATACCTCTGAATTATATAACAGAATGGGTTTAAGGGTATGATAAAAAATATGAACATGCACAGGATTTTATTCCAGGGGACAAATTTATAAAATTCTTTCTTAGTTTATAATATGCATATGATTAGGGCGAGATCATGTTTTTAAATGTGATATGAATATGAACCCTGCATTTTTTGTCGGATTTTAACGTGTTATTTCACAAGGTGTCCGAATGAAGATCGAAATGTCATCCTACGAACTTGCAATTCAATTGAAACTGAAGTTTCTAAAATCAAATTCAAATCAGAGGTTGATTTAACGCAGATTGGCTAAAACAAGGATTTGTATATTGTATACAAATGCTTGCTAAAACAGTGGTAACACACATGTTAAACAACTGGGCACAACTTAGTATGTTAAATGCTTGTGCATGTTAAAAATATTGGGACAGCACGCTTAAACTGCTATTATTGTGTAAGATTGTATTTTATAAGAACAAGCAAATATCTGATAGGTGAAAATAAGGTGAAATATCACATAAAATTTACTAAAAATTTTAAATCTAAAACACCGAGAAAAAGGGGGTCCGAACTCCTAGTGTCTGTGTAATCGATAACTGAAGCATATATATTATGTACATGAAGATAAATGTGTCAGTGGCAATGATCTATATAAGCTTGTATAAGGCCTCGCTGTGACTTTGAGATGAAGAACAGTCATAAAAGCGCTTTGCTTTTTGTTTGTTTATTGCTGTGCATGTACAGATCATTTTGTGTCCTGGATGAAAACCACATATCCTCTGTTTTCCTATTGACAAGGTCTGTCACAAGTTTCTTTTTTTTTCTCATCCTGCAAATGGTGTTTTTACCACATACCCAATCTTGAACTTTATCACAGTTCTCTGTTGCTTCTATACTGAACAACAGCTCTCAGTCTTAATGGAGCTACGCATGCGATTCATTCAAAGACTTTTTACAAGTCCATCTCCTAATGATGCCTTGGTGCCCCCCTCCCCTCCCAAAAAACCCTTTTTTCAAAATCCTGTATCCGCAACTGGTATGGATAGAGTTTACATGTAGAAAAGAGCCGGAATAAGCAAAATAAATTTAATGTTACCATTACTTGTTATATAAAAAGCCCTGTATTTTTTCACAGCCGAAAGTCATTTTTCTTGGTGTTCCTGGCTGTGTTTTTATCCACAAATGTTCCCTCTTTTAACACTTTGGCACTCCACTTTTCCAAGACACCACACGAAACCCAACCAATATATGAAAAGGCATGACACGGGTTAAATTATGTTCTTCTCATATATTTTATGATGGTTTAATACTAAACCCCTATAACAGGAGGGATTGTGCCTGATATTCATATGATGAAGACATAATCTTTCAATCAGTTTAATTGAGGTCTGGAGCTGGCATGTCAGTAACTGCTAGTAGTCTGTTGTTATTTATGTATTATTGCCATTTTGTTTATTTTCTTTTGTTTCCTATTCTGACATCGGACTCGGACTTCTCTTAAACTGAGTTTTACTGTGCGTACTGTTGTACGTTTGTTTTTTCTACATTGGCTAGATGTATAGGGGGAGGGTTGAGATCTCAAAAAACATGTTTAACCCCGCCGCATTTTTGTGCGTGTCCAAGTCAGGAGCCTCTGGCCTTTGTTAGTCTTGTATCATTTTTAATTTTAGTTTCTTGTGTATAATTTGGAGTTTAGTATGACGTCCATTATCACTGAACTAGTATACATATTTGTTTAGGGGCCAGCTGAAGGACGCCTCCGGGTGCGGGAGTTTCTCGCTGCATTGAAGACCCATTGGTGGCCTTCGGCTGTTGCATGTCTGCTCTATGGTCGGGTTGTTATCTCTTTGACACATTCCCCATTTCCATTCTCAATTTTATACATATACATTTTTAAAATCTAATTAAATTATATATATATATATGAAAAGGGTTAATAGAGTAATAGAACCCAAGCGGCACACCCCCTATCAATTAAGTATTGAAGTGGCCCCACGAATACGGGGTGAACCGTTCGAATTCTACAGGCTAGTAATACTAGATAAACTACATAATTAAGTACTAGTATATCAATCGCGGGCCGCCGCGGCCCCTAAATGAAAAAAAAAGTAAAGAAAAGATAATATAAGATATTTATTATGATCAAGACGAAGAAAATAAAGAATGGAGAATAATAGGGTGATAAAATATAAACTGAAAAGAAATATTAAAGAAACAAGAATATGGGGTGCCAAAATAGAAAAAAAAATAAGACATCAGTTATAAAGGGGGCCTGAAACTGAAAAAAAAATACATAATTTGAATCCAATATTTTTCTAGCTAATGGTCGAAGTGAAAAGTTTATGTGAGAATCCCCTATCCCTCCCCAAAACATTAAGTCCGAATAGGGGAAAAGATAGGCTTGCTACAATTCCCTTTCTTTTATTTCTTTCTTACTAATTTATATGTTTACTGTTAACTTCCAGTATACTGATTGCCCTTGGAGAAAGGCTCTGCAGATGTCAGTATAATGGTAATCTCCTAGCTAAAATATTTCTGGCTGTTCACAAATGAGCATTTACCAACTCTTATGTGCCTAGGCAATTATATAATTAAGTGTTTAGAAATAAGATCCAGGTGGATACAAAATATATAAAATTATTATGCAATTATTGTTAATGTTATGTAAGACACATGATGTGTTAGGCTCTGATCCTGTCCAATATATGATAGTATTATATTAGGATATAGTTTTTCTTTTTTCCAATCATATTGTGCTTAATATTGTTGTAAATGATGCCCTTTATGGGTTCTTGATTAGATTAATAAAATTCTTATCTTATCTTATCTTATAGCAGTAAAATTGTTAAAGGGGCAAAATTAAATAAAAATAATAAGGAAGGGACATGTAGCAAGTCTAGCCGGGAAAAGAATGTCACTGAATATATATTAAAAATCATGCCCTTAATCTCGGACTATTAGTATAATAGTCCCAGCCTTAATTCGGGGCTCTTAATTTGAATAAAATATATTTTTATCATTTCCCAAATCATAGATTCTGGTTTTAGTTCGATTGTACTATAGATTCTTGTTCTTGTACTATAAATATGTTTGCTTTGTCACGATAGTTCTACCTTTTGTCCTTTTTCCTAAAATTGAATAAATCAGAGAGTATGTATAGTATGAATGAATATACGTCATACTCCAAATATAGTAAATTCTGATCGGCATTGTCCAATCAAAAGTTCCAGTTGTGGCACACTGCCAAGATATTTTTCTGATGCAATACACGACGTATAACTACATGCTTGCGCTAAAAAAAATAAACCACGATTCAAACACAAACTATTTGCAGATTAGGATATCAAAGTCATCAACCTCAATATTTTTGAAATATAAAATATTAATTTATAAAAAATGAATAAACTAATATAATGTTATTTCAACCTTATTTGTTTTGTAACAGTTTTGCGGAAGAAGATAACCTTGAAAAGGAAATTTAGTAGCGCACTTTGCCCACAATCGTCCATTTTCTGACATGCTAACATAGACAACACAGTGATTACACATATTCCGTGTGCCAACACGACGATATTTGCGATGGATCTCTAGCGAGGACGTGCCCCAACCACAGGAAAGCTTAGGCTTTCAGCTACACTTTATTTTTAATCATGGCGTAAGTACAGTTACATGTTTTTAACAACACAACGATTTCCTTTGTCGCTTTCCGTCAAGCCATTTTTTACCGCCACGTTTTATTATTAACAATGAATGGGTTAGATATAGAAACGATTTCAAAACATTAAATGTAATCATGTAAATGACTTAAACACTCGTATACCTCATTGGAAAACAGTTTAACTCAAGATGAGAGTGTCCTGAAAAAAGGGGGGGGGGGGTGTTGACCCCTCGGACATTTATAAACCTACACCATAATGACATTTAAACACATTTGATTGATTGATTGATTTCTTTCGTTGCAATAGTTTGATAATTTACATGTAACGTTTTTTTTTCCAAAAAAGGGAGTGATGATCATGATATGGTAAATGTAGCCATAATTTGTCAGTATTGATATTTGAAACACTATATATATATATTTGTTTACATAGTTTATGTACACCTATTCAAAAACAAACTTTAATTCATTATTTATTTGAGATTACAGACTTGATATAGTTATTATGCTGTTTAGATTAATTAGATAAGTTTACTAATGTGATTATTATTTCATTTTCAGGTTACCCAACATATTTTTCTTTGTTGCCCTATCAGTGGCTTACGATTCTGCAGAAATCACAAGTTATTCATCATCATCATCATTTGAAAATAAAAATGAGTTCATTATTCCAAGAGATGGAGGAGTTTACTCTGTTCGACGGGCTTGTCCCGTCCAGCAACGGCTTCGGGCCGGGAGTTGAAGACCTTGACAAGTTTGATGTGGGATTTGGAATCCCTGGTGACAGTCTAGTCAAAGATGAATATGGTCCAGGAGAATTATTTGAGGATGTTTTATCCTCTGGATCACTTGAAGGTGTGTATTAGATTAGGGTATATGCGAATGATTGTTGGAAAACAACTTATTTATTATGTTTATAAAGACCATGGAGGCTTGACATATATAATAAGTATACATGTATAATCCAGTCAAAAAACAAAGACAATTTTCTATTGACATCGTTACAATAATTTGATGATTTAACTGTAACGTTTTTTTTGTCCATAAAAAAGGGATGCTGAATATGATATGGTAAAAAGAGATATATGACTCAAGCATTTCACACTGTGACACCTCTATTCGTTACAGTGCTACCTCAAATGAAGTTTCTTTATTGGATAGCAGCAATTTAAGTTTAATGGATGTGAATATAACATATTTGACATGTTAATTGTAGAATATGTAGAACCTAAAAGGGACCAGGTTAACCTTTACACTTAATCTAAAATTGAAGACATTATAAATGTATCGCATTAAGCCACAGTGAAAACACATACATTGTATTGGTCCTAGAGGGAGCTAACATATAATAAATGAAAAAAGGAATTATAGCAAGTGCCTTTATCAACACAGGAATACAAAATTTACATTGGAGTATTCAAATACATACATTTGTACTGATACACAATTACATGTTTATGTTACATATCACACAATATATTGTATTATTATTAATATATTTTATATCATTTATTTTGACAGAAAATAATTGGATGGAGACAGTTGATCTCAGCTGTTTACTCGGGGACAATTCCCTACTATCCGAACAAGAGACAATTCCAAATACCACCAAAAGTGGTCGGCTCCTGGAAGAATTACTTACACAGCCTATCAAAATAAAATCATCACCAACTGTTCCAAAGAACATGCAATATGACGCAGTTAAAGTTATTCAAAATGATTCAGTTAAAAATGAACTGGTTTACAACCCAACTGAAGTTTTAAATCAGAAATTGGACCATAGTATAAAGTCTGGCAGCATACTTGAAGAAGCAATGGAGGAAATTGATGGTATAAACACTTTGATTTTACAACAGCAATTACAAGAGCTGTATGACTCGAACATTTCACACTGTGACACCTCTATTAGTGACGGTGCTACCTCAAATGAAGTTTCTTTATTGGATAGCAGCAATTCAAGTTTGATGGATGTGACTATGAATGAATTCATTGCTTCTCCTTTGTCATCCGAAGATATTGACAATATTTTATCCAGTCCGGAACCTGCTTCACCGTCAAGTAGTATTCAAGAAGATCCGGATTATGTCCCTTACATATCTGATGGCAGCACAAACAAAAAATCTAAAAAGAGCCAGAAAGAGGGTAGAAGTAAAACCAAGCCCTATGACAAACCTGTTGAAAAACTAGACAAAAAAGAACGAAAAAGAATTCAAAACAGGAATGCTGCCATACGTTATCGCGAGAAAAAGCGTCAAGAGCGTGGAACAATTCACTCTGATGAAGATGTACTTAGTGATAAGAATAAAGAATTGAAAACTAAAGTGGAACAGTTGGTCAATGAAATCAGTTATATGAAAAATTTACTTACCGAAGTTTGTCAAGCAAGGGGTTTAAAAATTCAGTTTAAATAAAAAGTTAAGGGGGAATGTAATTTATTTTCATTTGTAAATACTCATTGACAGGAATGTCACCAGGTTGTACATTTTGTTTCATGATCATGATTAAACTTATTTCTGCTGTGATTATGTTTTTCTTAGAAAAGTATTTTGTACAAATCATACATTTAGTCTGATGGGCATAATACATGCATGTGGTTCTTAAAGATGAATTGAGGTACAAATGTAGGATGACAGGTTATCCGAGTAAAAGATGCAGGCAGGTGCAAGGGTACAAGCAGGGACGGTAACGTTAATTTAACAATACAATAAAGCAATGGTAATCTAAGGTCAACACAAGGTCTTTGCACAGTAGGTTAAGCTGTAAATAGTGGGGAAGTTTTCAAATTTAGAAAGAATTTAACAGAAGCAAAATTACATTGTATCATATGTCATTAACACCAAAGATCCTTCATGGATAAAAACATTGATGTAATGTGTAAACAGACCGCCACAGAGCTTGGTGAATGATATTGAGTAGGGTTAAAAAAAAATCTTAATATGCACTCAATCTCCACTTTTTATGCCCCAGCTGTAGCAGAGGGGGCATTAAGTTTTACCCTTGCATTGTCTGTCTGTACGTCCCAAAATTGGTTTCTGTTCTCTAACTTTAGTTTGCCTCAACCAAATGTTATGAAACTTGTACACAATGCTAATTACCACAAAACACAGATCAAGTTCAAATTTTGGTGGCGTCACTTTTGCTGTTCTAGAGTTATGCCCCTCTAAAAATGGAAAAATTGTTAAATTTTTCGTTTCCGTTCTCTAACTTTAGTTTGCCTTGACCAAATGTTATGAAACGTATACACAATGCTTATTACCACAAAACTCCGATCAAGTAGAAATTTGGGTAGCGTCACTTTTACAGTTCTTGAGTTATATCCCTTTATAACATTATATGCAAGCGGGGGCATCATCTGTGTCATATGGACACATTCTCCATTTATTTATCTCGTGAATGGTAAACAAAAGAAAGCACTATTATTTGTTTGAGCTCACTAAAAAATTTGTTTCAGCATGGAAAGATGACAACAAAAACACTTGCTTGCAGTTGTTGAAGCCAGTCTCTTGTTCTTGATTCAATAAAGAAATTCTGCAATTTTACACAATTTCTGACCACTGAACATGTTAAATACTCATCAAGCTTTGTTTCAATTTAACTGATGGATTTTGAATGGAATTTTTGTTTTAAATTTTCCAAGCAAAAGAGAGGCAAAAGATATCAAAGGGACATTCAAACACATAAGTTGAAGATCAACTGACAATGCCATGGCAAAAAAAGTCCAAAAGACATTCAGTATACAAAACACAACATACAAAAATACTAAGCAACACGAATCCCACCAAAAACAAGGGTTTATCAGCACTGTAAGAAGAGATAGTCATTTAGAATTTTTTATGTTAAAAATGTTTAGTTCGAGATAGGATTTTTATGCCCCTGCTGTAGGGGAGGGGGCATTAAGTTTTACCCTTGTCCGTCTGTACATACGTACGTCCCAAAATTGGTTTCAATTCTCTAACTGGAGTTTGCCTCAACCAAATGTTATGAAACTTATACACAATGCTTATTACCACAAAACACAGATCAAGTTTGAATTTTGGTGGTGTCACTTTAACCATTCTAGAGTAAGTAGAGTTATGCCCCTGTATAAATGGAAATAAAATGCTCCGCTGGGCGCAGCTTGATACGACCTCAGAGGTCTAACCATGAACAGTTGGGGCAAGTATGGACACAACATTCAAGCTTGATACAGCACTGAATTTTGGATTGTGATTAAATATTTGTCACAGCACAGGTTTCTGACACAGAATGAATGTGGTCTAAGAACTTAAAAAAATTTAATTTACCTATTCAAACCATATCATTATTATTTGCTTTTATATATTAATCAGAAATAACCAATTTAAAATGGAAAATTTTAAAGAAAAAAATCCCCCCCCCCAAAATATTTTGAACCTCCTTATGATTCATCACCCCCAAACTCAATCCCAGCCTTCCCTTTGAGGTATTGTACCTTGCAGTACAATTTCAGAGAGATCCATACATTTGAACACAAGTTATTGTCTGGAAACTAGAAAAATGCTTGTTTTTTGGCCCCAAATTCCTAAACATATAGGGCAATTACCCCCAAACTCAAACCTAGCTTTCCCTTTGTGATATGGAACCTTGTAGTACAATTTCATAAAGATCCATACAATTACACACAAATTATTGTCCTGAAACAAGAAAAATGCTGGTTTTTTGCCCCTAATTCTTAAAATTTTGAGGCAATTACCCCCAAAATCAATTCCAGCCTTCCCTTTGTGGTATGGTACCTTGCAGTACAATTTCAGAGAGATCCATACACTTGAACACAAGTTATTGTCTGGAAACTAGAAAAATGCTTATTTTTGGCCCCTTATTCCTAAACATTTTGGGCAATTACCCCCAAACACAATTCCAGCTTTCCCTTTGTGATATGGAACCTTGTAGTACAATTTCATAAAGATCCATACACTTACACACAAGTTATTGTCATGAAACTAGAAAAATGCTGGTTTTTTGCCCCTTTTTTGGCCCCTAATTCCTAATATTTTGAGGCAATTACCCCAAAAATCAATCCCAGCATTCCCTGTATGATATGGAACCTTGTGGTACAATGTCAGAGAGATCCATACACTAACACACAAGTTATGTCTGGAAGTTACAAAAATGCTTATTTTTTGCCCCTTTTTGGCCCCTAATTCCTTAACTGTTGGTACCATAACCCCCAAAATCAATCCCAACCTTCCTTTTGTGGTATTGAACCTTATGGTAAAATTTTATAGAGTTCCATTCACTTAAACTAAAGTTAGAGTGCGAAAACCAATGTGTCTTCGGACGAGGACGACGCCAAGGTGATACCACTATACGACCACAAAATTTTTTTTGCGGTCGTATAAAAAGTGCAAAATTTTTAGTTTCCGTTCTCTAACTTGAATATTTTCTTGTGGGATAAATGGACTGACAATGATTTGAATATGTCCGTCTTATCCTATAATAATATAATGGGTAAATTAACATGCAACTCAATTGTGTTGGACATTTGGACTGATGTTGTAAACACATGCATAGACATTTAAAATTATAAGTTGTCAAATGATCCTGACTTTCTAAGAACACTTGGATCTGATGAAGTGTATTCAAAATTATTGGATAAGGCGGGATCCTGCATTTTGAAAAATAATAAGATGTATCCTACATGTATAAAGCTTTCTGTGGAATTGTAGGAAAGTCCAAGGATACAAGAAGAAAATGTTGCATGTAAAAGTTGAGGGTAAAGACTTCATAAAGTCAAACAGTGTATTCTTCAGCATGGTCAAAAACTAAATTTAAAACAAGTTGAAAAAAATACGATTCCCAAAGCACTATGATAACTTTTGTTTTGTTAGTCTCAGTATTTACTGTTTGGAGCTCAGGGCTCGACAATAACGCTTGTCCGATTGTCCGGTACCAGAGGAAAAAAAGGTCGGACAAGTAAAAGCTAGATCAAGGTTGTCCGACGGGACAAGTAAAATCATTTTGTAGAAAATGAATTAAATCCAACTTTGATGAACAAAGTATTGAGTAATAAACAAAAAACAAGAAAAGATAAAAACAAATATTAATTTGACATGTTTACCATGTTTACTTGCAATCGATAATTTAACACTGGTTCTTTGACAGATACTTTATAACAGATAAAACGCGCGTAATATTCTCGGAAACCAGTCTTAGATGAAATCAAGAATGCGCTTTGTAGATAAGGTAACAAGACAGTTCGGCACCGGCACGGAAACCAATCCTTCCATGTTTAATAGACAGTATGGCACCGTAGGAGACATTTCATACCAAGTCAACCAGTACCTCATTTCCCTACCTTTTTCTGTTGCTTATAATAAATATGATAAATTTTATTTAACAAAAATATTTTTAAAAATAAAAAATGAAGAAATTATTGACCATAATATATTAAAAACAAAGCTGTTTGTTGTAAGGCATTAATCATAATAATCAATATTTTAACAACATGAAAGACCAGGATACACCAAATGAGTGTAGACTGACAGGCCTACCAGACTGTGCCTCATGTGCAGAGTCTGATGAGACTTTGGCATTGATGAAAACTAGAACCTAAATCCTGTGACATGACTTGATTCAGTTGTTCTCGACTCATATTTTTGAAAAGGATATCAAGAGATATAAATCAAATTCTATTCTTATGTTCATTGAATCAACTTAAAATGCAAAAAAGGTTAATATTAAGTGTTTTTTTTGGACAAGTTACAATTTCATTCGGACAAGTAAGTTTTGATGTGTACTTGTCCTATTGGGCAAGTTGAAAAAAAAAGTTATTGTAGAGGCCTGGAGCTGATTGTCAGTTTTTGACATCTTATATTCTTAAATTTATCATCAATTTTCTCGGTTTAAGTATTTATACATCTTTATAAAATAAGGTGAGTTGAAATGATTGCCAATTAGACAACAATCCAACAGGCTTTAGGCAACTATAGTATACTGCGTGGCCTCCAACAATAAAATGGGCTATAAAAGGCCCAAACATGATAAAATGTGAAACAATTCAAACAAAAACCCGACGGCCCAATTTATCACAAACGGAGAAAAATACAAATATAACAGATAGCAACCCGTTCTGTGAAATTTTTGGATTTAGCAGTTCCTGATGAAGGTTAATGGGATGCACTAAAACTTGTCTTAATTTTCTTTTGCATAAGGTCTTTTGTGCCTTTAGAAAAAAAATTAGAACATCTTGCTTACTTGAAATGGCAATTGCAAATAGAAAAAAGAAATTGCTTCCTTGAGCGCAGCTGGAAACGACCGCAGAGGTCCAACCCTGAACAGTTTGGGCAAAAATGGACACAATAATCGCGCTTGATACAGGTCTGAATTTGGATTGTAATTAAATATTTGACACATAATAGGTTTCTGACACAGAATAACTGTAGTCAAAGAACTAAGAATTGGTTATATGATTTGAATTTATATTCACATTTTTGCTTTTGTGCAATACACTATGCTGTTGCAAATTGACCCCCCCCCAACCAAAAAAAAAAAAAATTACGCCCCC